CTAAGTCTACTGCTAAGTCTACTGCTATTCCAGTTTCTTTCTCAGTGCAATTCAAGAGGGTGATCATTACCTTTAAAATCCTATATGGCATAGGGCCAGGTTATTGATGGGACCACCTTTCCCTAAAGACATCTAACCATCCTACCAGTTCAAATAGTGTGTGCACTCTCCTAATCCCTTTCCCTAAATATTGCCATCTGATGCGAGCCAGGCATTGAATCTTTTTCATGGCAGCCTCTACCCTGGGGCATACTCTGTTCCTAAAACTTTGGCAGGTCTTCATAACCTTCTGCAGGGCTTTGAAGACCTGGCTTTTCCCCAAGCACTGGGATGGTGGAATAAGATTGCATAATTGCACATTAGAGGTTTGCATTAGTCTTTGTTGTTTTTAATGTTTTAATATTTCAATGACTTTAGTTTTATTCTTTTAATGCAATTGTATATGTTGTTTTAATTTTTGATTGGAATCCTTTAAGAGTTGGTTAGAAACTATATTAATTAATAAATTAATTAACCTGCGTTGCATTCTTCAGGGATGTATTTTCAACCATCCGTTCTTGATGTTAGTCCTGCATCCTGTTGTGGTCTTCCATCAATATGCTAGGTGAATCCAACTTTGCTTATCTTTTTGAGAACTCTGTCTTGAGATATTGAATAATATGTGTAATAGAAATACAATAATTTAAAAAGAATAGTAAGTTAGGAGGTATTCTCTAGCCAGGCAGGCCCAACCTGATAGAGGAATACCTTTTTAGAATTACCATCTTCCTGTTGAACAGAGAAACCCACATTTGCTAATTTCTTGGCTTTCCCCCAAGCTTTCAAGTGGAACGTCTTATTTGCCTCATCTGTTTGTTTGCCCCAAAGAAATTCCTGTCTGCTTTTCTTGATATTACTCTTCTCTCCAAAAATTCCCTCCTAATTTCAAATGCATTTGGACAGTCTCACTTATTTTTAGAATCAGCTGTTCAGGGTAGGTTTTTCATCTTAGCATTTGCTGTCTATGATAAAAAGAGTTTCCTTGTCTTTAACTCAGTGGGATAGCTTGAATTAATTAGACATTGGACTTTCATTGATTTGTACAGGCCCAAATTGAATGGTTGTAGAGAGGAAGGAAAAGCAAATGCACTTTAGCATCAAAACAAAACTTGCTATTATTTCGTAGCACTTATTTAAAATATGTCGTTTGTTCTTCTAAAATTTACAGAAAATTATTATTTTCTGTAAATATATATGAATTTGTGGTGAACTCATTTATCGAGAGTGGTGCAGTTCCCTTAATAATGCACCAAATATTAAGATATTTTCATTTATAGAGATGTTGATATTCATTCAGCCCTGCTGCTGCTGCCCTTCTCTATCCTCCCCTCTTAAAAATCTTTTTTGATATCTCAAACTTCCACCTCCTGCAGAGAAGGCGAGCACCATGTGCCTATAGTCACTATGGGACTCTGCATTTGGGAAAATGAAGTATCTCAAATATATTTGAAGTTGCTTTCTGTATTTGGATTTTCTGTATGCAAGGAAGATACCTTTTCTCCAAGGGACAGTGTCACCTAAGAGAAACGATTTAAAATTTTGAGCAGGATCAGCAGATTCAGTGTTATAAATGTGATCCTGCCTCACCAGTGTAAAACAAAAATACCTATTGCAAACAGCTGAAAACTTTTTAAGCATTATAAAAAATGCAAGTATCATTGGAATAGATGGGAATTCATTTTTAAGTAGTAATTTGTTTTTTTTAATGGTTATTTAGGCAGTTTTACTCACTGAATTGTTATGATACCAAGGCTTTCTATTTTTCTTGCATTTGAACCAAGCCATCAAATTAAATATGGATTCAATGTGAACAAATGATATTTCAGCAAGTTTCTTCTTTTAAAAAATTACAACTCTCTTTGAACATAAATTAATTATTCAGTAATTAGTTTTTAAAATATTACTTGGTAACTATAAACAAATTACTCAACATACTGTTTGTGTATAACTAGGATGCTGAAGTTCATCAGTTGTATAATGGGGAAACCTGTTGGGTTAGCAGAGATAAAATTTTCCAAATTAGATAGAGATGATAGATAGAGTCAATCCCAAAATAGGTAGGATCAATAAATGCATATTCCCTCTCATCCATACATTTTGGAGGAAAGAGGATTAAAGAAGAGAAGAGAAAGAGAAACTCAAAGTAGACATTGTGAACAGGATAAAAAGAAAAATGCAAAAAAATCTCTTCTTGTATTTCAGCTCTTATCTCCTGCTCCATACTATCTTTCCCCCATATCTTCTGAACCTTCACATATTGATTTCTCTGGGAGAACCGGGAAAACAAAAATAATATTGAAAGACAGAGGAGCTATCAAAGAAGGCCTTGAGTGAATTTGCAAGGTAATGAAGGTAGTAAGGCTGATAAACTATAGCAGGTGGGTTAGTCTAGATTTTTTTTTTCATCCATGGTTTATGGGATTGCATTTTGGCTACAGATTGATGAAGCTAATTTAGTAAATGGGGAAATATTGGCTTTTCTTTAAAAAAAAAGTTTTATTGTTTTATTTAAACAAAAAAACACACAAAAAGAATAATCTTTCTTACATCTTATGGAAAGCGTGTCAGTTGGTTACAAATACATTTTGTGCGTTTCTTCCACAATCATTACATATACTTCATTCAAATTGAATTGTACTTTTTAAAATTTATGTATTTTACTATCACTGTTCCACAATTCTCATTTGGTTATAATTATTTAAGCTTGCTTTTATCTAAAATCATTTGTATTTAAAGACACAACCACCTACTGGCATACATTCGCAATCTTAGTAAACCTCCAATGACTTTACACCTTTGTAACATATTCTAAAACAAAATTAATTAGTAGGATATCTAAGCATTCCCTCCCCTTTCCCTCCCACAACTCACAGATTAAAGCTTATGTCCAATTTGCTTTTACTAGCACAACACACATGTATATATTATTAAACATTATCCATTAACATTTCCTTGTTATTATTGTAGTTAACTAAAAAAATTTTTTACTATTTATATCACATCTCCTCTCTTCAGACCCAAATTAATTATACCTTCATAACAAGATCTAAACAAAAATTTATTAATAAAATGTATAGGTCTTTTCACCAAATCCCAATTTACAATTTATGGCCAGGTTACTTAAACTAATTAAGGTTATCATTTCATTATTATTATCATGGTTAATTATATGTTAATGAATAACCAT